CATCCAACGAATGGACCCATAGTGGATTTTCGGGTGCTGCACTTGTACGACTCTGTCAGGGAGGCGCCGTTCAGTCTTCGAACAAGGCCTATTACCTCAGTGGCTCCCTGAGCCCCGGCGGGAACCCTACCTTTGCCGGCACCGCAGGAGCGGATGTATACATGGATCCGGGGTTGATTACGCTCGATATGGATACGTTAGAATGGACGAACGCATCGACTGCAGATATGAATGAATGGGGAACCATAGGCGACGGGTACACGAGCTTGCTTGAATCGGCGGGAGACGAGGGCGTCATAGTAGCCTTTGGCGGGTATAAATATCCAGTGGGCCAGACAATTTCATATTTGGCCTATAACCAAAACGAAACAAGACGTCGGGTATGAAACCTAGCCCCGTTTTATTCCAATGCTAATGTCTCCAGAATTCAATGGAAATGGTCCGTGTTTACGATATCGCGGAGCAGAAATGGTACACCCAGCAAACCTCGGGTGATATTCCCGGCTGGCGAATGTCGGGCTGTACTGTTGTTGCTCCTGCCCAGGATCTATCATCATATTCAATGTAAGTCGTCTAGCCTGCTAATACAGCCAACAATGAGCGTCTCAATACTAATCAATATTGCAGTTATGTATTCGGCGGAATGGCAAACACGACAGCGCTGTCAGATGGCAATGTCTACGTTCTCTCAGTGCCATCATTCCGGTGGATTCGGGTTACTGATGACAACAGCATCCGTATTAAACACAAATGTGTACGGCCTCAGAATAATACCATGATAGTAGTGGGAGGGAATACCCCAGTCACGAATCGAGAATATGACCCTTTACCACAGAATTGCGACAGCGCTACGTTTGCTAATGGGATAGGCATCTTCGACCTACACTCCCTCTCCTGGCTATCTAACTATAATGCAAGCTACAACGATGCGTATAGAATCCCTTCTAAGGTCTCCGACGTTATTGGTGGCAGGTATGTCAACTTCATTCCTCGGAATTTTTTCTTGCATTATTAAACCTCCCGGTAGTGAAACTGGCGGAGCAACAGTAGTTTCGCCCAAGGATGGATTCAATAGTACTAGTATGGAAGATTTATTTAAAAAACGGAACAACGTCACGGATTCCGGTACTTCGTCGACTTCAGCACCCGGTACGACGGGGCAAAGCTCCGGTTCATCTAAGGAAAGTCTATCCGGTGGCGGTATTGCCGGAGTGACGATTGGCTGCGTCGCTGGTGTGGGTTTGATTGCTGGCCTCGCATGGTTCCTCACCCGAAGACATCGAAAAGCAAAAGCTGCAAGTAGCTCTCGACTGGCATGGCAAAGCGACGCATCGGCTATCCCACCGCCAGATCAAAGCCCTCGGAAAGAGCTGTACGGCAGCGGACCAGAGGTCCATGAGATGGGAGTCAGGGACCAACCCCGCTTCGAGATGCCAGCCGAGAATATGGCGGTGGAGATGCCCGCCGAGGGGATTAAACGATGACCACCTGATCCAGAACATCGCTAAGTGGAGTGGTTCTGAGATAAATTCTCGTGGCGAGTCGGTGCTTGTGTATGTTCGCCTACGTCGTTTCGAATTTCCAGGTGTACATGGTGACATCGTTGCTCGATGCTTCGGTTGTTGACATAGCCTTGACGAACTGGATGACCTCGATTATAATCAGAGTTATGAGGATATATACTTCTATGTACATTACTACATTCCAAATATAATATACCAAATCGGACTATAATAGTCATTAATTTACCCATACGTCGTCTATCATATTATAGACCTTCTCGAATATACTACGTACAGCACTCGGGGTGCTGTTGCCTCATTATAGAGCTTGTAGCCAGGCACTTCCATACGAATACTTCTAAGCTCAAGGTGGAAGAGGAATCCGGATATGAGCCCTCGTCGTAATAATGGTGATTCGGGATCGTTTTCTAACTTCGACAACAATGAGTTCCTGGACTGTGTTCTCATGTATTTTGTTAAGCATGGCCATACCCTTACATCGTGATGGGTTTGTTAGACAACCTTCCGGCATTCCAAAGATATCATAGTCATTATCATCAATACTGTGGCCGAGCAAAACAATAATATGATTACATACGGTAATATGCACATATCAAACCCACCTCTCAGTACCCATACCACCTCGAAGAGATTCTAGCCTCTCTCAGAATCTCCACAAACGTCCGTTCCTCATGGCCCCGGGAAGAAACTGAGAGTAGGGGCTCTGAGGTCGATGCTGTCGACAATAATACATAGCAGCGAGGACAATCCGACTGGGAAGGATATCTCCAATCTTCTGATCGGGAGCAGAAAGGCCGGTTTGTGCAGAGGATAACGTCGGTGAGCATACGATTGCAGCAGTTATACTTCTTGTATCTGTTTGTGCACATTATGGTAGCTATTAGGATATGTTAGATGTAAGTTTTGTTTATATAGTATAGGGAGTCACTCTTACTACTATTGCGTGTGTGTGGTTTTGGGGTTTCTGTATATGGTTGGTGGTGTGATAAGTGTTGTCCTAGTGTCTTTTGAGGAGTCAAGTAGGAGCGTATAACCATCGATTAGGTAGATCTTAATAGGATATCGCAAGGAATTCTGAATGGGAACTTCGCAAAGCTTAAGGTTGTTTCATTCTTTGTATTCTTGTTCCACTCACGTTAGACCCCTTCATTCTACTGCTTCTTTACCGGAAAATGGAGCGAGCAGTCTGGGACAATGAGAGTGACATGGCACGTCGGCGAATTTCTTAATATAACCACGTATAGGAGCATGGTATCGTACACTAGAGTATAAATGAGGGTAATACATGTGTGACCCTAGCTATCTTATGTTTAATGCAGTAACCCCAGCTACTATACTATATATAGGGATTAATAGTGAAACACTCAAAAGGGACCACCGGCTCATCTAGTCTTACAGGAGGTATTACTGGTACTTAAAACAAGACCTGTCAAGCATGCTCTTTTAAAGTCGGGCACTGAACAGAACAAAGATCAAACATACAGGCGTCTCGAAAAATCATTCAAGCAGATCACGATGTTCTCGAACAAAGTCCTCCACCACATCGAGAAAGCCTTGGAGCTCCGCTTTGCTAGTTCCCAAGATCAAGCACAACATGCCACGTCTGGCCATCCAGTAGCCATGACGGATGGCATGGTACCAGAACAAGTCCTTCAGGATTGATTCAACGCCGTTCGACTCTGTTACCAAATCATCCCCAGAGGTGATCCCGGCTTTGTCGATGCCAGATGTAAAATGAATGTTACACACTGCCCCTAGCCCGGTAACTGTCATTTTAGTACCATGGCAGCGCTCTTGCAAACCCTGGCGGAACCAGTCCCCCATACTGTTGAGTTCTAAGCAAGCCTCCGGCGTAAAGACACGCCCAAGGGCAGCCAACCCAACATTCATAGCCAGGGTGTTGTTGTTGAAAGTTCCAGAGTGGCTGATTTGAACCTTCTTCTTCGATGAGTCTGACGCAGGCCGTGGGTCATACGCCGCCAGAAGGTCCTTACGACCACCAAAGGCACCAATGGTCATTCCCCCGGCAATCCATTTCCCTAGAGTGGTCATATCAGGTTTCAACGCTGCGCCATCGTAAGGACTTCGGATAACAGACTGAAGTCCACCCGGCGCAAGTCGAGAAGTTATAATCTCATCGAGAATAAATACCATCCCGTTCGCATTGGTCTCATTCTGAATCATGTGCAGGAATTCCGCCGTGCCAGGTATACATCCTCCTGCGCCTTGCATGCCCTCTACAAGCACGGCTGCAACTGTATCTTTGTTTTCTGAAATGAGTTTCCGAGTCCCTTCCACATCATTGTATGTACCAATGATCCAATCTCCTTTGTCGACATTGTTTTCAGCAATTCCATGGGCAAAGGTCAGAACGCCGCCATGATAACCACCCTTGAACACAATGATTTTAGATTTTCCAGTCACACCGCGAGCGATACTCAGCGCATGCAGATTTGCCTCTGTGCCGGAATTGCAGAAACGTAATTGTTCTATGGACGTGATTCTCTGACGAATCGCTTCTGCAAACAAAGACTCTGTCCTAGTTGTCGCGCCTAAATTCAGACCTGTTTTGGTAACTGTAGAGATGATAGTGTCTCGGATGATCGGATTTGTATGGCCGTATAGGCCGGCTGTCATTTCCCCAACCAGATCCAAATATCTGAAAATGGAGAAGTCAGCTTCAAGATGACGGAAATAATGCAGATACCTTACTCGTGCCCATCCACATCAACCAATTTATGGCCTTCGCCTCTGTCCATGCAGATTGGGAAAGGGTTGGTGTGAAGTATTGAGCGAGTGTTACCACCTGGTAACACTTCACTGGCCAGCTTATGTTGGGCCTTGGAGGTCGGATTTTGATCGACAAAGGTTTTCTCTGCGCTGATGAGCAACCTTTGCGCCTTTTCTAGGGTAAAGTTTGAAGCTCTCGATGATGCGGCCATTTTCGAAGAACTGGTCGTTGTTTAGTCGTTAGACTACAACGTGAAAGCAAAGTGGCCGTTTTGGGATCGATATGTAATCAGGTACTCTTAGGATATAATTACTTTGGGTAGATAGAACTGACTAAATGCTGGACTAAATGTAATCGTCATTTTTGTAAGCCGCATCCGAGAAATGCTTACTTTCGGGTCTCGCATTTCGCATTTCGGGTTGATATCAGATTCCCGCTATCTTAACCCCGCACGTTATCGCCTAAAACAAAGTGTATATACATCTACGAATAGATCATGGAGGCACGATTCACATTATATCACGCCCAAATGACGGCAGTTTGTGGGCATGATCTGATCGTTAGAATACGCATCCAGCTGCTTCAAAGCCTAAGTCGGAAGATGCAGGTGCCATGGGACAGGTTGGAGAAAGGCCTCCATTAAAACTCCGTATAGAGCTTTCTAAGTGATAAGTGATTCAAAAGAGGATAGAAGCCAGGTAGTCAGGAAATTGGTACACGGGTCTCAGATTAATGTAAGAAGAAACCTATATTACATGTGACCAGTCTCCGGAAGGATCAGACAGCATTGCCATAAGAAAATCTATGTCAACCCCGGGGCCAACATCCATACCCTGTGGCTCGTGATCCAAAGCTAAAAGGTCCGCTTGACTCTGTTCTGAAGTACTATTATGTACTTCTTGGAGTCGAACTGTGCCGTGAGTAACCGAAGCCTGTGGTCCCGAATCTCTTCCATTTCTCGTACTCCCGAGGTGGTATTGACGAGGCGATCCTGTAAGGCCAGGCGGTGCGTGTTGTGACAGAGCAGCCAGAGCATTCACAGTTGAAGATTCTGGTTCTGCAAGACGATGCAAATTATCATGGAGATCTTGGAACTGCTCCCGTCCAAGATGTGGGAAATTATGTCCATCTGTTTTGAGGCGTGTGAAGATTCCCCTGAGCTCGCCCAATATTTCATACCAACGTTTCGCAATCTCCCACTTTTCGCTAGCAGTTTTCAGCCAATCAGAACTCCATATATACTTTTCCTTCGCATTCTCGAGACCAGGTGCCATGTACGGCCAAGTGTCCATGTACAAAACTACGCTAGCGGCACTAAATATACAGAAGGCTGTGAACGGTGTCAGAAACTGTACACCCCGTTTTTCAAGATCCTGCATCAGCTGTATGAGAGTCGAAGCAGCCTGAAAGAGTTCCTGTGAGCTGCGGTGCCACCAGTCATAAGGAGGTGTCTGCTCCAAAAGTGGAGGGTCGATCGGGCCACATGGACGTGATACCCTGTGCGGGAAGAGAGGGGTGTATTCTCGATGTAGAAATAGAATGCTCATATAGTAGAGCAGATTTAATAATGCGAAGCCTTCGACCCGGTTGTGCAGCATGTGCGCCTGTACCTGTCCAGTAGACCGCGAGTATACCAACCTGGACGAATGAGTCGCTCTCCAGGCTTCCACCGAGGTCATAGAGCGGTTCCAGAAAGATGTATTTTCCCAGGGAGGCTCTATGGACTCGGGAGATGGGTATCTTCTCCCACCTCTACAGATCCACGTAGATATGGTGGAAAAGATGCCAAACCCCTCGATTATTAAGGAGAGGATACGCTGGGGTCCATCTATCTTTCTATAACTACCCATTGTCGTAACTGATGTATCTGTTCCTAGCTGTGTTAGGAAGTAAGGTGTCAGAGTCGACTCGGGGCCAAATTCGAAATCATCCTCGCTCATTGGCAGCGGAATATCGGGTACCTCGATTTCAGCGCGTTGCGGACCATATCTTCCACAGCGTAGGATACAGTCAAGCACGAAGCAAGCCCAGACAGTTCTGATAGTCGTTTCGTACTTTGTGGAGTTTACGTTTGAGGCATCCTTTGTGTTTCCCTTCGTTTGCGAGTAAATGCCTTGGGTCATTCTCATGGCCATACCTAAACGTCAAATTGTTGAGACCCACTTAGCAACTTCGAAGTTTGCATCACACACCTGTATATATCCATGCCTGAAACCCATTACCCTCTGCCCAGTCGTACAAACTGAGCAAAATCATTGCATGGACGGCGTCGATCCCAGGATGTTGTGCCATGTAGCTCATTATATTCTCACGTACAACATTGGCGAAATATTCAGACGCTCGGTGCGGACTGCCATATTGATCTACCATTTCGGGAATATACCGTGCACATAGAGCCATGATCGCGCAAAGCTTTATGGCAGGGATTCCATCCTGCAGGCTGTACTCAAAGAAGGTTGGCTTATGTACAAAGCCAAATTCCGGAAACTGCTGAGCAAATATTCGGCTCGCACGAATGACCAATTCCTGATCCACATTTTCTAGGGCATTTTCCGGTAATATTATGGATTTCAGTTGCTGCGGAGCATTGCTCTGTCTTTCGCTGCTACCGTTTGCATCAGGAACTGCACTATGCGTTGAAAAGGCCGTTGGTGATTGTTGATTTTGTAAGCCAGTATTTGTCTTCTCTGTTCTTCGAGAGGCGGATGTTTCCCCTATAACAGTCTTTGATACACGATTTGCACGAGCCGTGTTCGCTGGGGAATGGGACGAAATGTTCCTCTTCCTACGAAAGATAGGAGTGCTCAGGCTACATTCTCTGCCCGGATGGGCCCTACATGATTTGCAAGGTGGAGTACCATCGTGGTGGCACTTGACCTTTGACTTCCTAGGGTAAGTAAGCGTTAGAAACTATTGTAGGAAATAGTAGTTGGTTCTCGCGGGGGCAACATGTATTTAGAACATGCGTGAACATTATTTGAACGTCAAGCCCGAAGGGACCCAAGGTTACATATAGGGAAACCCATGGACAAAGAATAAGACTTACCGACACCACTGGCAGGCCAATGTGGTCCTCATTTTTGGCGAGACATTAGAACTTCGTCAGTTGTTGGGAGTGGCATCGGGAATACGAACAATTGTTGCCAGCAGGTTTAGGCCGAAAGCCGAAGCGGGCCTTGCACTGAATTAGGTAAGATCTTGTAC